TGAGGAGTAAATGTGCAGGTAATAAAGCCTTTCCTGTCCTCAGAGGCTTTGCAGTAACCTTGGGTCATGTGTACTACAAGTATAAAATCAGAGGAGAAATAAAGAGTGCCTTAATGTTTGAGTCTTGCAGAATGTACAAGAGCTGTTGTTGGAAAGCAACTACCAATAAACACTTACTGATGTGTTGGTTATTAATGTGACATTTTTATATAAATGCTTCTTCCCCTAGAAAGAAGATAGGTTTCTTTCCAGAAGAGGAAAAAATGAGTTTTTTCTGTATAATTCAATCATTGTGTATGTTGCCTGGTACTAACATAGCATTTGATAAAGCCACATCTAGTAAGATCTGTTTTTAATTTGTGCTCCTTATTACAGTTTGTTGTAGCTGCCTAATTAAAATTTGTCAGGGAAGTAATCAGCCTTGTTTCTGCAGTGAGAGCAGTTTAATAAGAAAGTAATTTTGCAATTTGGTTTCATTAATTAATTAGGCAAAACACTATATAATCCACGTAGTGGTGTATAAACCCAGGGATGCCATGACACCAGCTATGGTGTCCCAAGAAAAAAGGGAATTTACCTGTGGATATTCTATGCCCAGTGTGGCTTTTTCCCCTGCCAGCTTCAGGGGAAAAAAGCTGTCATACAATGCTTAACCTGAATGTGTCTGCTAGGGCACATTTTCTTCAAACAAACCTTGAAATAACTTTATGTGGGGATGGAGGCAGAACAACTGGATCAAGAAAAATCCACCAGCAAATGGATCAGCATCTGTACACAGACTTCCTCCAACTGTCCCAGATGTCAAAGTAAATGAATCTCATACTCCTGAGGATATGAGATACTCCTCATATCCTCAGTTCTAGGGATATAAACCCTTATAGAGGGGGGAGGGAATACAGGTGAGCAAAGTGAGGAGACAGCATCACTGAAAACCTTGTAAACCACTGACTGCAGTAAAAGTCAATGCAGGATTAAAAGCTGTCAGCTCAAAAGGCCATAAACCACCACCTCTTCTACATCTATGTTCCCTGACTGAGCTTGAAACAGAGATTTTATTTTTCAAGAGGCATTTCAGAGTGCTCCTTTGAGGCTCACAAATTATCACACTTTGCAGAGAACATAAAGCTTTTCCTCTGCTCTCTGTGAGCTCCTAGGGGTTGTACCACACAACATCTTCCCAGCACTCCTGGAGAAGGTTTTCCTACTATGTAGCCACAATTTAATCACTTTCTTTGGAGACTACAATGCAAAACTCTACCTCTCTGCAGAGACCTGCTACAACAACCACTTGAGTGGATGTAGCTGCTGAGAATCTTTCATGGGCCAGGACACATGGCAGCAGGTCTTTTCAAAGTGTATGCACCCAGGGCAAGTTTAAATTTACATTAAAAAGTAACACAACAGTTCCTCTGAGGGAGGATGACACAAGGAAAACATGTCTCAGGCTGCAGGGTTCCCTCAGCATCCAGGCTCCATGCCCCAGATATGAGGCCTTACTGAAGGTACACTAAGAAAAGTTGAAAAATGTATTCTCTTCCCTGAAAGACTTATGAAAAATTGTACATTAAAAAATTGTACATTAAATTTTTTCCTTATGCAGTGTACAAAACTGTACAGTGTGTGTGGCCCTGGGCTCCCAGAAGAAAGTTGAACACAAAAAGCCCTGCCCTGACTCAGCTCCTCAAAGTCAGTGCACTGGGATGGGAGAGTTCCCCTGCAATCTGCCAGAGCCCCTCAGAGATTAGACTGAAGCCAGGTTTTAAAAACTTTCTAAATTCAGCAGGCCAAAGAGTTAAGGTCAGATACAAAGGAAGAAGTCATGGGGAGAAGCTGTAGCTGTGCTAATTAAAGCATGAGAATGAGCCTGCCTTCCTGACCTGATATTTGGAAATGCAAGCTGAAGATTTGAGGCTGAAATTCTCCTTAACCCCCATTTCTCATCTGGCACTCATCTGAAAGCTCATGTAACTGCAGAGATGATTCAGACTTTTCAGAAGAGAGCTTAAGGCTTAGATCCAAAGTTTACAGAACTCCCCAGGTTCATACCTGAACACTCTCATGGCACAAATCCCAACACAAGCCCAAGCACACAGAGGTCAGGTCTTGACTGGCTGCTCTCACACCACTTTCACTTCGGGGGGAATCAGACACTGACGTGATGCTCTCACTTGCTGAGGCAGAGGAACCTGCAGATTTCATCAACTCAGCTGCTGCTCGCTCCTGAGCCCTTGCTGGGCTCTGCTCTGAGAAATCAATGATGAACTCTCTCTGCTTCCAACAGGAGTAAGCTAGGAACAAAATAAAGCACAACAGCAGCCTTTAACAAGCTTACAGCCTGCTCCCTGAGGATGCAGCCAGACATGCTGTCTGCCCCAGATCAGCTTCAAAGCCAGCAGCTGAGAGTGCTCAGGGCACAAATAGTCTGAGTTAATAAAAGAGCATCTTCCTCAGCCACGGTGCAAACTTCGGCCTCCTCGTAACTAAAAGAAGGTGCTGGGGCTCTTCCAAGAATTTCCTTCTGCTTTGGAGCATCAGGTGGGACTTTCAAGGACTGATGCAGATCGAGCCTTGCACATCCCATTCACCTTGATCAGAAACTCTTGCAGAAGCTGTCCCAGGGCCTCAGCCTCTGTGAGGAGCCCAGTGCAGGCTGGAATCCAGCCCTGCTACCTGTGCTCACAAGGCACTTGGTTTTCCTGTGCCTCCGATTCCTTCCCTACCATCTGAATATCTTTGCTATTGAGTTGTTCAGGAACTGCTTCTTACTTTGAATTTTCACTGTGCTTAGCACAAGGGGCTTTTGATCCAAGCCAGGGACTCAGGATGTTGCTCACAACACACCGAATTGGGATAAAAAGGGTTTGCACACGATGAGATGACAGAGTGAATAAGGCTGATAAAAGGCTCTTAAGTCATTAATTCAAGTTATGCAAGATCTAGAAACATTTCAGCAACAACAAAAACTCTGTTAGAGCCTTAGCAATTTAAAAGAACTTTTTCTTAATTGGCTTCACAATATTTTTTCCTTTCAGTCTTTTTTTTTTTTTTTTTTTTTTGTGACAGAGAGATATTAGGAAATTGATTCTTCCAGCATCACCAGTGGCTCCCAAACAATCTTTTCAAGGCTGTGCTGTGTTTTCTTTGCCTGAGTAATGGGAAACTGCCCAGAGACTCACATTCAGTCCAGCTTCCTACCCCAGGAAAGGAGCATCAGCTGATATTTTAGGCTTTCACAAATCTACTTGGCCAAAAAACAAGGGGACAGGGAAAGTGACTGAGTAGCACCAGGGACACAGAATCAGTGTAGAACTGTGATCCCAGTGTGGGTGATCCCAGCCCTGGGAGACGGGATGGGCACCCATGGGAGCAGTCATCCTCCAGCACTGACACCAGTCCCTCTGCAGGGGATGCCCGGGGGGGACATCCTGAGCATCCCCTGAGCAGCCAAAGACAGAGCAGAGAGAAACTTTGTGCTGCCTTTGTCACTTCTTGCCACAGGCTGGATGCTGCCTGTTCCTGCAACCCCCCATCCCAGCAGGGGCTCTGCTAATCAGAGGTTTATTTGTAGTAGCACCAGTTGTGAATGTTTGGCCTCCAGACCAGGCCTGTCCTGGCTGAGGTCCAGACCCAGCACCTTACCTGCTGAGCTTCATTTCAAAACCCACCATATGCATTTGCATTTCTTTTTTTCAGCTCTATCCCACGCTGCCCAGAGACATTCCTTCTCCAAACAATTGGCTGCTGGTCTTCTACTGTAGTCTTTCCTTCACATCAAAATCCATCACAAAACATCCTCTTAGCCCCTGAAAACACTGAGAGCCTTTTTATGTCAGAGTTAAATCTCATTACTCAGCAGGCATTAATTTCCCTCTTTTAACACTAGAGGGTTTGATCCCTTCCTGTTAAAAATTCATGCATCAAAGCTAAATCATTCTTGTCTTCCACATTCCAGCTAAGGAAGAAGAAAAAATGTAAAAGGCTCCAACAATTTGCTGGCTCATTCATCTTGGCAGATTCTTATTAAATCCTTACAGAGGCTGGCTGTTTGTTCCTGGGGCATGACACTTTTTGTGTCCCAAATGGATGTCACAGTGGGGTAAATATTGGATCTGAGCCAGGACTTTGTAGGTAGGAATCAAACCAAATATTAGGATGATGAGCATTTAATACTGAGGCTCTGGCCCTAACCAATATCCCTCAGTTCCAAAACAAACAATTTATTGGCCACCCTTTTTTTCCCACCACCCCTGGTCTGGATCATCTCTTATCTGGTTTCTGCTTGTCACATGTTCATGGAACAGAAGATTCAGCATACTTGGGTCATTCCCCTGGCCATACAAGCACAGCACTGCCAGAGATGCCCTGCCAGTGCTGGACTTGAAATTCCTTCCATTGTGATCTGCAAACGAAGAGAGCAGCTGGAGGAGGAAATAAAAGTAAACAAATGCTCCCTTCAGCAGGGTTAACGGTGGGGTGGAAACCACACAGACTAAAATCAATCTTTACCTAAGGCTTTTGTGGTCATTGCCATTGTGAAACCCATCACTGGTAGCCCTTGCTCAGGGCTGAAGCTGCTCAGGGTGACTGGGAGAGCCTGGGCAGCTGGGCAGCCCTTCCCCAGGGAAGCTGCACATTTTGGCAGCTGCACGTTTTGGCAGCTGTCTCTCCATCATGTCCCACACCATGGCAGGGAGAGGATGGAGAACTCTGGGAGAGCCTGGGCTGCATTCCCTGGCATTAGACTGGGCTGGGAGTTGCCCCCAGCTGTTAACTGGTCTTGGACCCAGCAGGAGCCAGTCACTCACTCTCCCAAAGCACGAATGCAGAGCACACAAATCCCTGAGCACGGATGTCATGGAGTGTTTGGAGAGGAGTAAGTTCAGCCAGGTTTGGACACAACTTTATTCCATTTAAAAGGGAGCAGCACAGGGTATCCAGGACACAGTGGTACCTCTGTGTGTACCCCACTCATGTTTCCATCACGTGCTGCCAGGACATTGCTTCCTTACAATCACATATCATTTTGTGGTTTTCACATTGTTGATCTCCTGCAGCAGGTCAGACATTAGAGTGAGACTGACTAACAAGATCATGAAGTCTTCAAAATTAATTTTGTTCTCTGACTCCTCATCCAAGGAAGAAATGATTTCCTGGTATTTTGGTTTGTTTTCTTGGCCCTATGAAAGATTTTAAATGAAAAAAAAAAGCATGAAGTTCCTTTTTTATTGCATCATTAGAAAAAAAAAAAGACATCTACTTATGTAAATATTAATGTATTTTTTATTTTCCCATTCAGGTTGTTATGTCAACATTCATATTAGTTTTTCAAAAGGTATCCAAGGAAATTCAAACAGAAATATTATTGCAGTCAGAAAGGAGAACAAGCAGTCCTCAAAGTTTCTGTAAGAATCCAGAATACATCTTTATGTCCAAAAGACACCTAATTATGAGTGAAAATCTGACAATGATGATGATGATACAGCTGGTAACTGTTAGATAAAAAAGGGAGTCCTGTGTCTTGATAAAACTGGGAGGAGGAAACAACCAACCAACCCTCTTAAATTTAATATTGAAATATATACAAATACATATTGTGAAAGTTTCAGAAACTGTTGATTTTATAGGCATAACTTTAATACTGCTACTTTTGGATCCTCTTGGGCACTCGTGTTGGAATGGATTATTAAAATTCTGTAACATATCTATTATTTATATTTCCTAATGAAAAAGCCTTGCTAGAGTTCCAGGGTAGTTTCTTAGCTTAATCATTTCCCAACCATCTCAGGATCCCAAGCTTAATTGCTTCCAGTAATATTTTAAATTCTTTTTCAATAAGGTGCCTAGTTTCTAATTTGGTGCCAATTTCCCCTCCCTAACCAGTCACGTGATTTTGTTATTTTTGGGAGTAACGGTATCACCTCTCTCATTTACTTATTTGAGCTCTTTTTCATTAGTCCTATATAGCTTTTCCTACCACTTGATTTTTTTTTTTTTTTTTTTAATTTAGGGAGGGGGACAAAACCTGCAGGAAGTTTACAGCCACAAGCACTGCTGTGATGGTTTTTCACCAGATCCATCCAGGTGGGTGAGGGCTTTCTGCCCCTCTCTCCCAGGACCCCCAGCAGTGACTGCAGTGAACCTCTGCAGCACAGGGCTGGCTCCCAGCAAACCACCAAACACCTCATTAAAAGCCATGAGTTTCTTCTCTTCTCACAAAACCAGCCTTTTGTCATCATCCAAGGGTTTTAATTTGGTTGGGGCTTCTTTTGCAATGGCCCTGTTTTCTTTAAACAAATTCAAGCAGGAATCAGCCGTGGTTTGTTGCTTCCTTTGGCCCTGTGTTAGACACAGGCTCAACATAAAGCAGCTAAGTCACAGAATGTTTGTACCAAACCCCTAAAGTCTCACTTGGGACTATCACCCGTGGACTGATGCTTGCCAAGCTGCTTGAGCTGCCATTCCTGCACCCAAAGTGCCCAGGCAGGGCTGTCCCAGTGCCACCCACCCAGCAGACCCCCTCACCTGCATGAAATGCCAAAACTGGGATTGCAGTAAGCTCTTGGTTTCAGATTTACTGAGCTTGCTCTCAGGGTCAGCATAGTTGTTATACACCAAAGCTGCTGTAGCAAAAGCCTTTTCAAGGTCTGAGCCTTTTCTTAGAGCTGGAGGGAGGAAAAGTTTATTAAAAAAAAGAAAAAAAAGAAAAAAAAAAAAGGCTTTTGAGATATAATTGAAAGGATTCTGTTAAAACCATCCTGGGTAGGTGGAAATCTGTGTAGTTTCATTAAAGTTAATGAGACTGAAACTGTTTATACCCACAGAGGATCTGGCCCAGATTTTATTTGGAATGGGCCAGCAACATGCCTCATATCCCATGCAATCACCCCCTGAAAGGAGCTTCCCTTCAGAGCTAGGGCTGTGAGACCCATCTGGCCCATCCTGACCCTGGGCACCCAGCAAGGACCTGCCACACCACGGGGACAGGCCATGGTGACCATCTCCTGGATGCGTTTGGACTCCCAGAGACCTGCCCCAGGGAAAACACGGCTCATTTGGATCCTGGCTGCACAGGAACATCCGTGTCTGAGCATCAGTGCTGCACTCCAGCATTATGGCAAACTTGGCATCTGGGCTGGATTCATTCCCCCCTTGTGCATGACTGTGAAAGGCTGCATACTCCCAAGCCTCTGCTGGCAGAGGTCACACAGGTGATTTATGCTGTGATTTTTTTACAAACAGGCAAGCACAAGAGGAGATGTGACAACACAGGACAGTACAAGGCACAGGGACCCATGAGACCCTCTGGACTTGCATCAGCTGAGGATCTGCATGGCCTCTGCAAGCCCTGTGACACTGCCAGAACTTTCTGCATGTGGGCTGAAGGACCTGAACCCCAAAGGGGCAATGAAGGGCTCCCCTTACCTTTTATTGATGCCAGCTGCTTGGCTATGGGTACACTGGTGGTGAGAAAGCAGAGAGGCACAATTATCACTTGGTAAATTGCGTTGGGTATTGAATTTCTCCGTGAATGAGCTTGCTCATTTCTGTTTTATTTAATCACCCAGGAACTCAGGGCTTCCCAAGGGACAGTGTCTTTCCTTCACAGTGGAAAGGAAAATGGCCTCTACAAGAAGCACAAGAACATCACACAGCTTCTAATCCCTCACCTGAGTGAGTAGCCTGCAGTTGTTACTAAAGCTGATTATTAATTTTAAGTGAGGGACATTGCAACACACTTCATGCAATTTCTCCATGAACATGAAAGAGGTCCCAGAGATTTCTCAGTTTTATACCTATTCCCAGGAAAGTAGAGAGGGGTCTGCCATTCCCCCCCTTCACCAATGCTCTCAGCTTGAGGCAGGCACATAGCTTTTATTTCCAGCAGGACTGACATTTGTGAGGATCACCCCCCTGCTTTCCATCAAAACCTGCTTACCTTGTGCTGAATTGCTGGAAACTAATTACAGAGCATGTGATGGAGACAAACACACCCAGATAATGAGCTCCAACACAAACGGCAGATCACGCAGATACCACAACAAAGCCATGACTTACCCCTTGGGCATGCCTGCAGCAGCTGGAGGGCCTTTTTTGGTGGAAGCAGGAGCTGCCTGCCTGACCGAGTACTGCTTCGTACTGGGAACACTCGCTCTGCAGCCACACATCTCCAGGCCAGGCTGTTTGTGATCTCCAGGCAACGGGGCAACAGCGAGCAGGGGGATGGAAGCTCTGCCCGCGCAAGCAGCCTGCTTGTGGCCATGCCTATCAATAATGCAAACACTGCCTGGGGATCCTGGAGCCAGAGAAATACACCGGGCTACAGCCGCCCCTGGAAGGCACTGCTGGGCTGGCAAGTAGTGGGGTTTGTATTTTACAGGGGAATTTGACAGAAGCAAACCCAACTCGTAATGGAACTCGATCCTCTTACACCTGTGGGGATGTAACTTTGCATCAGGAACACCTTTGACACTGCATCCATTCATCTATACATATTACAATTTTTGTGAGAAACTTTCCCAGTGTAAAGTGAGATATTCCTGCAGCCAGAGTCGGAATCCAAGCATTTCCTAGTTCCTGATCCAGCATTTATCCTCGGTGAGCACTCCTACTCCAATATTTATTCTATTTCCCCATCACAGTGCAAAGAGACCTGCTCTGCCTCCAAACCACTTCCAAAGCAGCACCCAGCAGGAGCCTGGGCTGTGGTTCCCAGCCGAACAGGGAGCGCTGCTTCCCAAAGCAGCTCGGAGCCATATGGCAGAGCAGTCGCACATTAGTGGAACTGGAAGGGCTCCAATGAACTTTGTTATTTATTGGCATGGATATTGCTATTAGAAAACACAGCTTGTCACACTGCCTATCTCCATGCACGGGCTCCTCTCTGCGGATCCTTTGCCTAGAGGTGTCTAGACAGGATAACTTCAAGTTAAAAGACAAAGCAGCCACTTTAATTCCAGGGTGGTCTGTTAATAGGTGGTGACTTCAACCACCTCATCCACCTCATCGCTGCTGGTGAAAGGATACAATACTGATGTTAAAACTGTCCATGATGATGAGACTTTATGTAACGGGACACACAAAGGAGACTGCAACAGATGGCCTAGAGAATTAAAATGTTTTCCTCATTTAGCAGAAGCTAAATTACTGAAGGCTAATGAATAAGGATGTTCACCACCTTACCGTTCCTGGATTTTAATTATCTTAAAAAGCATGGGAAAAGAGAACCTTTAATTTTCCATCTAAGAGTGTCATTACTCAAACAATTCATAGCCTTTTTCTGAGAGGTTTAAGCTGTCTTAGATCTCTGGTGCATTCTTTAGGACTGGCTCATGAATAAAACAGAGCCTGTAATTGCAATGACGAAGCCAAAACACATATAATCAATGCTCATTATTCCATCAATTAACACACTAAAATTAAACAAGAATTCAGGCTTAGTAATCTGCCATCAGCTAAAAAAAAAAAAAAAAAAAAAAAAAAAGAGAGAGTCTTGATATCACGTTGAAGTGATAATTCCCTTTCACATCTGTTGAACCATACAACGAGGCATGAAAAGCGTTACATCCCATTTAATATGTGGAATGGGGATGTTTGGTCTTAGCGTCCAAGGTAAAAAATGAGAGTGAGAAACAGACTCAGTTGCCTGTTTATCACTGGCAGGCAGTACTGCGAGCGGGCTGGCAAACCCAGCCCTCTGTGTTTTGGGATCTTTCCACTGTAGATCAGATTTCAGCTCGCAGTTGTTTTAATCGCACCGACTTCTGAGAGCCTGAGCTCTAGAACAGGTGATTTGCTTTGCTGGGGTAGTAGCAAGTTCAGACAAACCTGGGGTTCATTATCCCTCTAGGATACACTAATTAACGTGTGCAGGAGCGTTTGTGCCTGACAGATGAAGGGTAGCATGAGGATAACCCTTGCCTTTGCAGATGATCAGCTTTGAAGATTGAGATTTTGGCTGTGCGTGTTGGTCGAGTATTCTGGTCAGCAAGGTGTGTGTGGAGCCAGGCCATCTGCTCTGTAGCTATTTTGGTGCACACTATTTATGTTTGAAATATCCAGGTGCCTTTATTGGTCAATTTTTAGCACGTTTCACACGTTAACAATCCTGTCTGCGCAAAATACGCAACCTGCCACTTCAAACTGCAAAATCTTTACAGGCAGTTCACTTGAAATAATTGACACGGGGAAAAAGCCAGAGCCTCTGCTTCAGTTTTGGTATTTTCCCGGAGTTTTCCTTTCCTTTTTTAAGGAAATGCTTTTTGCATTTCAGGAGGCTGATGTTGTGAAACGCGTGTGTGTGACATAGCCATGACTCCCTTAGAGATGGCCCTGGGCGGGGCAGGGGAGGGCTGGATCCCAGGGACACAGGCAGGAGGGAATACCTGAAACAGGAGACACACTCACACCTCCTGGCCTCTCAGGCTGCATTTCACCAGCAAACCCTTCAGCAGCCGCAGGAGAACAGCTGCTAACTTGCAGCCAGGCAGGTTGAATTCTTCACCCAGAGAAGCTGTGGCTGTCCCATCCCTGGAAGTGTCCAAGGCCAGGTTGGACAGGGCTTGGAGCAACCTGGGATAGTGGAAGGGCATTGGAGGGGAGATGGATGCAGATGATCTTCAATCCTGAAAATACTATTGCCAAGTAATTTTCCCTCTGAGAAATGTTTTATTATCGGACGTTTAGACTTCAGAAAGGCAGCTGTATTCTTAAAAACCTAGAATCTCATTAATGGGGGGCACAGCAATAAAAATGTAAGAATAGGAACTAAATGCAACAAACAGGATGCCTTCCCACTGAACTATTAAAATTTCATATTGAAATGCTAAGGTCTTCATAATAAGGATAGATGTAATTGACAAATGATGGGATAATCAGCACCAGATATATTAATAGCAAAATACAAATGATTGCTGATGTTAGAGAATTCCAAAAGGAAAAGCTCCTGGGTTGAGAAGAAGTAGGGAATAAAAAGAAATCCTAAAAAAAAGAATATTGAAGTTAGGGAGAGCACAAGCTAAGTAGACCATCTATTCACATACATAAGGAATTTTGACTCAAATCTATCTTAAAACCAGTGGACAAAGGACTAAATGCTTGTGACATGATATGGCATAATGAGAAGAACTTTTTCAGAAAAGTATTAAATAATACAGTGGCAGTTTTTACTCAGTGGTTCTTAATCTGTCTGTCATATTAACAGTAAAACTCTGCAGATATTGTCAGGAGTAGACTACAGGGAGGTGCAATGCATGTTGATGCCACTGCCTCTTATATCAGCACATCACAGTTTCAGCCAAGATTGATTTAGGGCTACAGCCTGGATTGCTCTTTCAATTTGAGAGCATATAAAGATCAGAAATAATCAGCTTAATCAGAGCAGGCAATTGCAACATGAATTCATGCAACAAGACCACAAACTTTCTCCAAGTCTTAGCCATCACTGTTACGTGCAGCTCAACGGCCACGTTGAAGGAGATTTGGTCATCAGGAAAAATATCACACACAAAAACCCCAACCCCATCCAGCCAGGACAGAGCCCTGTGGGCTGTGTTTGCATCTGAACTCATCCTTGTCTCCTTGATGGGGTGGGCAGGAAGTGCAGCAGGCTGCAGAGCCAGTGGTGCCCAGAATTACCCTCCCTGCCCTCTTCAGCACCTTCCCATGGAGGGCATTGATGCTCCAGAATCCAGCAGGGGATTCTGCAAAGTGAATCCCCTCCCCAGCCAAGAGCAATGGGGCAAACCCCAAACCAGCAGGTGAATGTGCCCCTTCTTTGGCCTCTGAGGCACCTGGAGAAAAAGTCCTGTGCTCCCCCCTCCCCACCACACTCACCCAGATGTACCTGCCTCTCCCCCATAGCTTCACACTTGAAAATGCAAACATGCTCCTAACTTGGGCAGCTGAGAAATGGGCTATAAAGAGAAACACATGGGAAAACAGGAGGGACAGCACAAAGATCAAGGAACATGTTTTTTCTCTCCCAGGCTGACCTAGTTATTTAACTAACTGGCAGAGATACTCTAATGATGAAGCGGGGAAGCAACGAGGCTGCCAGCAGCAGTTTCACAAAGGATGCTCGAGTTTACTTCACTATTTGTCTTAAATCCAGGTAATATCAAATACAGTCTTTTTCATAAGTTGCTTGACCCTTGGCTATGCAGTCACCATCCCCAGCTGAAATAAACTTTCAATTTCTCAGCAACTGCAAAAGGATGTGATAAAACTCAAATCTACAGGAAGACAGAGGAAACATTCAAATACATTTTCTTACATAACACAGACAAGTGCATGCATCATTTTTGTTTTCACTTTTGCTGCTGCCATACTTTATCAATCTGAGAAGCTATAGACAAAGAATTTTTCTTCCCTCCTAATTCAGAGTGAAGATTACAGTCCCCAAAGGGTGACAACTGGCTCAACTGTTTTTTACAGCAGCAAGGAGCTGATGTATCTGTAAAGATCTGGCCAGTTAGGTAAAGCAAGGGCAAGCCTTTCATGAAAATATGTGCCTCTTACACAACTTTTTGTTAACTCTTCCACCAGTTCTGCCCTTCATGAGAAAAATCTTAGACCTGGAGTTACACAAATAGTATCCAAAATATGACATAAGCTTAATTCTGTTCTAAGCCTTGTATCAGAAACTGCCCTTTCTCCAGGGGTGTGAATTCCAGAAAGCTGCAGTCCTTGCTCACATGGTTACAGAAGAATTTCATCTGGTCTGAAATGCAGGAATAAGCCAAAACAAAACTCATTTCCATCCCTCAGCTTTGGATAGAAAAGTTTGGGAATGGGACCCTGCTGATTTGTGTGAAAAAGTTCATGAAGAGAAAGCTAGTTGACACAAAAACTGTTTCTAGTGGAGAAGCTTAGATATGGGAGTTTGGGATATTCCTCATCAACTAATAGAAAGGGAATTTAAAAGAACAATAACAACAACAAAAAGAAAGAGTAGAAGCAGGAATATGTGGGAGAGGGTATGAAGAGCATACATCCCATCACACCCATTGCCACACACACAAATTTCACTTTCTCCTGACTTGCCAATATCTAACATTTTTCCAAACTTAAAAGAAGAAAACCAACCAACCAAACAAAAAAACACCACCTCCCCCAAACAAACAACCCCAAAAACCTAAAAATAAATGCAAATCAAAAAAACCCCAAA